ACCATGCAGGTGTTGCGGAGGTCCCTGAGGGTGATGCTTTTACTCGTTCTCTTAGTGCCTGTGGAGCTCCACGTGTCTTTGAATGCGAGCTGCTGCCTTCTTTGTTTTACCTCTCTGGTTGGTTTGATGGTCACGAAAACGAGATGGAGTGGGGTATAGCCGCGATGTGAGTCTGCAGTTGTTGCCTACTTCAGGCCGGCTTGCCATATAAGGTACACGTGTTCGGAAGATTGCCATGGTTCGGGAGGTCTGTCGTTCAATCCTGCTGTGTCGATGTACGAGGAGTTCGTTCTTGTGGAGCCCCCTGAGGGTGATAGTAGCCCGAAGAGACCTGACAAGGGGACTAAGAAGGCAGCTTAGGGGCTGTCCTTGCTGGCAGATCATCACGTCAATCCTCCATTTTCTGCTATTACACAGATGTTCGTTTCTCCGCATGCATTGTGCTTGTTGGAGGCAGGCTATGGTTTTTCTTTGCGACCAGAGAGTGGTATTAATTTTCTTGTATGACTTCATCATTAACAGTGATTCATTTTCATGCAATGCGATACCACGACTGTGAGCCCAGAGCTGGACGCTGGAGAGGCGGCAGAAGATGGGAGCAGCTTAGTAGTCCATAAACGAAGTGAGTTCATTGGGTACTACGCCTTTAGATTCGTGCGGGTGTCATTCATCATAATTTCAGAGGTTGGAGTGCCTGATCATTAGCTCTCATGTACACGTAGTAGTGTAGTTCGTCTTCCCTAGCAATTACTGCGGTTTTCATCGCGGGCTACAGCTGATGTTATTAATCATGACGTTGAATGATATCTAAGCCATATCGTGATAGGGGTTAGTTCGATGATGATGGAAGTTAGTATTAGACTTTACGCACAGTGTAGACATTCACAGTTCTATGCTTGTTAGGCGAGCGGAGGGTAGATAGAGCGTTGGTGCGGGAGCTCGAGAGCTTACGTCACGTTGTGAAGGTGAAGTCGGTGAGAATAGAAGAGGCACGGAAAATTCTCGAGGTAGTATCTGCTTCATCACTCATTCGTGATCGCTGATGGTGGTAGATGGAAGAGAATAAACTGAGTAAACTCTCTAGAAGTGAGCTCAGTAAGCCGCAAGAGGTCGAGGAGCAGCAGGGCCGTGTGGAGTCAGCGTGGAGGCTCGTCACTGAGCATGTAGGTTTACTCGTCAGGTGATGATGGAAGTTGCTGATGGGAGTTTCAGGAGTACCTTCGAGACTTGGCATTGTTAGAAGTTCATCGCTTGGAGAGCTCAGCGTTGGCGACGAGGAAGCAGTCAAAACTCGGCAATATGGAGGCTTCAATGACGGCAGCTGTAGCAGCTAGGAAATTGCAGGTGGTGGTGATGGGGGTGTATAGTTGGTCTGTATGTGTTCAAGGACGAGCTGAAAAGAGCATACCGAGATGTTCAACGTGAGCGAACGAAGTTTGAGGCGGAAGAGGCTCAACAGAGGCTGGAAGCGGAGAGAAATGTGAAGTCTTTTCATCGCAATGTTGCTTATGGAGTTGTTCTTAGTTTACTGTAGCGGCTGAAGCGAGGAAGGCCCAGGTCGCTGTCAGGAAGCGGCTGTTCGATAGGCAGCAGGCTGCGAGAGCGAAAGAAGCAGAAAGCGATGAGATACGGCGTCAGGTGAGCTTAGGAGGCGTAGCGTTATTGTTAAGGGTAGAATGTGTGATAGATGGGAGAGCAGGCCCAGGCTAGGGT